TTTTTTTCTTTTTTTTTTTTTTTCAAGGTAAAATCGAGTTCTTGAAAAAAAGAAACCCAATTAGGGCATAAGTGGGATTAGCATTACAAACCAACCAATCAGCTGCGTCATCACATTTTACTACCAGCAGTATGATTTGCTTCCTGCTAAGTCCCTCTTCCATCTTATCAAGTCATCTTCTACGCCAAATTCGCTAAGACAAACCCTTCTTCTTCAACAGAGACCAACCATACCAAACCGCACCACTTTCCCTCCTCTACTTGGAAATTTTCTGACTCGAAGATGTTTCAGGAAGCCATCGAGTGGTTCTTAACGATTTACCGTGCCCTGCAGGACAAAGCCCTAGCGGGCTGGGCTCTCTGGTCATGCATTCGGACAGCCGCGAGCACGGTCTTCGTCCTCCTCGCCATCGGTGAAAACTGCGCTTCGTTTAATTATGATAACATGGATGGTGAAATCAATTTTATTCTAATTTTCGAACTCGTCAATCAAGCTCGGAAACCTTTCCACTAGCGATCTTCACCAAGAGTCCCCTCAGAGTCCTCGCACTTGGATGATGTCCACAACCAAGGAACTTGGTCATCCACCACAGTAATCGATAACCCCGAACGGTGAATGTTTCCTCTAAAGTGTACATCGGTGATGTCCTCAATACAGGTATAGCAAGGTCCTTGGGTACCGTGTCTACCAGTGTCCAATGTACTGCTGATATCTCCCCATGGCCCATCTCCTCTGTAATGGAAACACCATATTTGAAGCTTGCAAACGTGCCTTTGAAATTGGAAGGAATGGTAGGATTGTCGAGGATGAAGGTCGTTGCATTTGATTTCGAGGTCGACTGAGATGATTTGAGATTGGGAGTATATGGCCCGTACCAGGAGGCGATGATTGTGCAGGATCTCGAGGATAGAATCCTTGCTCAGGTGGATTTTTGGTGAGAGCTGCACGGGCTTCTTACTCCGTTCGAAAGTATGGAAGCTAGGGTTGGTAACTATGCGATGGTTGTTAGTTGCTCAAATTCAGAAAAAAGGTCACCCTGGGAGACTCACCATGCCACCACCACGCTCTCTTTTCGTCGTCCTCCTGTGCATTACCAATGGCCTCTGTTACTACGATGTTCTCCGCGATTGCCCTATTCCCAAGTGTTCGACCTGTTTGCCCCAGTCAAAGCACGACGCTTTAGGGACCGGCTTCGATCTAAGCACAGCGTATGGGTAAGCATCTTCATTCATCCTTTTTCGAAGGAACTTGATATACGGTCTCTGCCAGAACTACAAGAGTCACTATGATTGCGAAAACGAGTACTATGAGCTGCCGCACGAGAGGGTATATTTCGTCAGTGTTACGCGACATGCTTTGTTTCTGAGCTCGCGTGGGTATCAAGCTGCTTTTAACTGCGGTTCGCGGAGGTATATCTGGTTGATGAGATGGGTGGGGTGGATAAACTTGCTGGGTCTGAGTATCCTTCTGCGGAGGCGTTTTGGGAGTATGTGCGAGCGCAGCTTGTGGTTCTACCCCGGCAGAAGCGTTCGTTTCCAACGAAGGTGATTTTGGGGGGGTGAGAATGCTACGAATCCTGAGTTTCTGAGGATGCTGAAGGATGCGCTCCGGGAGGTTCGGTTGCAAAATCCCAAACTGAGTGGGAGTGAAGAGGTAGATTTGCATTCGTTGGTGAATGGGGGCCTCGACGTTGATCCCACGCTCGCAGCTGCAAGAGGCGCTGTGCTTTATGCTCGATGGCGACAGGAAGCTCCATTTGGTTGTGTGGAGCGCGACGAGTGCGAGGAAGAGAGGCAACGGGAAAGGCAAGGCAAGTCGCCTCGCGTGATAGATGACGAACTTTGAACCTGTGTATTCAAAGATTGGAAGCATGAGAAACGTGCCCCATGGGCATGTATTTAGAAGTAATAGTATAATACAAACCTCACAGTTCAAAGACCATGAAAACACCCAAAAATACAGACAGAGAAACAGGAACGCTTTTCTATCCCACAGACCAAGGAAATGATAACGTAACGAACCCACATCAACTCATAAAACCCCCAACTCAACTCGTCGGTGCATTGTTCCCCCTACCAAGCGCTGACCGGTCATAGCTAAGACCCAATGCCTGCCAAGTCGGTCTCCAGGCCTTCTTCCCTTCCAGCAGCTGCTTAGCCTCTTCCTCGAACGCCTCACGCTCAGGCTTGTTAGGCTCCATGCCGGCATCGGGACGGTTCGCTTTCTGGATATCCTCTTGGTACTTGGCTGCTCTGAAGAACTGGTCCTTCTCCCATCTATTTCATCCGTTAGCTCACCAAACCCCTCAATCTTAACCACCAAAGAAAGGAAATAAACATACGGAGACATATCCGCCGGCGCATCAGGCCACACAAACGGCTGTTTCATCTCAACCGTCATCCTCTTCTTCGACTCCGGTCTCCTCAACTTCCCGTAACCCCATCTACCCATCGGCCGCAGGCGGGTGATCTTCTGCTGTTCGATGTAACTGCGGACGCCGAGAACGTCGACTCCATACAGGCGCTGCAGGTAGTCGCGCATGTCGAGTTTGTTGAAGCTCAGAGGGACGTGGAACGAGGCGAAGCGGGGTGGGAGGAAGGGGGTGCGGAGAAGGGCGATTGTGAAGTCGGGGCTATAGCATGTTAGTATTCCGTTTGTATTTGGGTTATAGAAGGGTAGGTTTGGATTGGTGACCTGGGACATACAGGAATACTTGCTTCCGCTGCTCCAGCGGCGCTGAGGGTGGTACCCAGCCCGCGGGCTTCTTGGGGAATTTGGAAAAGGCGCGCACCATGGTGGCTTGTTCTGGAGAGACGCCGCCTATGTGAAGAAAGAAATAAAGACTTGAATTGGTTGAATTTACAATCGCGGGGAAACGAGTCTCGTCCGGAGATTCAATCAGACTCGGCGAAACTTTTTGGAGCGGAAAATGCGCAGTTGGCCGCGTCACGTGCCGTAGTGGACTATAGCTGTATTTCTAGAACAGATATTGAATTAAATCATTTCATTGCGACTGCATGGATAAAAATCATGCAAAAAGATCTCGTTAAGGTACAATTTGAAGATGTGTATTTATGGTGGTCATTAAGGATCTAAACAGACCGCGAAAAGAATTCAAATCCAGTACACAAGAAAATGCATTGCTCATGACAGTCATTACTCCCAGATTCCTTATAAACGAGATTCCCCTAGCTTATGACACGCGTAGTTCTCCTAATTTCCGAGAACTGTCGTCGACCTCATCTGACGGTTTCCCGGACGTTTGCTCTTCATCTCCCTCAGACCCTGATTCCTCCTCCTCTTCCTCGTCGTCGTCCTCAGAATCCTCATTCCGGGACTCTTCATTGTCCTCATTGGCTCCAACTTCCTTCATGTATGCCTCCAACTCCTTCGCCATCTTCCTAGAGAACCCAGACGCCTCGACTTGAATATCCAGCCGTTCGGAAGGATTCTTAATAAGCTGCTTCTTGGCGTCTTTGAAGAAAGGACCAGGCACCTCGCTCACAAATTTGAACTTTCGCTGGAAAAACCGCTTGATGCAGTTAACATCGCGATCGAAGTACATCTCGGCGTTGGGATGGTCAACAGAAACCATCTGCGGGAAATCAATGAGAATCGGCTCCAGCCGGATAATCTCAGGGCTTTCTCCCTCGGGTGTTTTGCCCTTAGCATCGGGGTCCTCGATTTCCTTAATCAGAAGGTTGAACTCGTTGAAGTCACCATGGATGAGACCGAACCGCGCAAGTCTCACGATCATATCCATAAGCTCTGAGTATAGCACGTCCGGCTCGGGGACCTCGGATATTTGACGGAGAGGGAAAGCATCGATCAAACTCATCACGATCGTGTGTCGGTTCTGCGAAATGGGTTCCGGCACCGGGAATCCGTTTTGTCGAAGAGCTTTCATAAATGCGTATTCTTTCATTGCTGCCAGACGCGACATGTACATCCATGATCCGGAGCTTCGATGTCGCAGGTAGTCGCGGTTGTTCTTGATTGATCGGAACGAGATACGGCCCAGGCGGTGAATTTTCAGGATGCTCTGCTTGCCAGTATTGTCTGCGACGACGACGATATCCGATTCCTTTCCGACTCCGATCTGGTTGCCGACAGAGTAGATGCACTTGTGTTTCTGGTGCGCATTGAGAGCGAGGTAATCGTATCCTCCGTAGGTCAATCGGTAGCCGTCATCTATTCCAACAAAAAGCGTTAGCATGCGCATGTCCCTGAAGGAGATTGGTCCTATTTATTCGCGCCAAACGAAGCGGGAGACATACACTTCGCATTCTTGACTTTCGCAATCAAGTTCGTCTTTGCCAAAGCAGAAATCGACCGAGTAACTCCACTCCCACGGAGACCAGAGATCTGCGCAATCAGTGGCGTCGGCACGACTTCATGGTTTTTGCTTCCGATTTCCGCCTATTCATTATCTCTATGTTAGCTGTCAGACGACAGGCTGCGACTGCATGACAAGCGGGGATGGAGTATCGCCGTACCGCAGCGAGAACTCGGAAATCTTCTGAGTTGAGGTACCGGATCGCTTTGGCATCGAGCTTCATGGTTGTTATGGAATCAGCGTTTCCAAACAGCGAGGATTAAATAGGAAATGAACGGGTTTGAGCTGTCTGGACGCTGCTTTTTTGGGTTGGTAATACAGTAAGGACCGTTGAAGATAATGCGGAAAACTTATCGCCCGCTTGCCCTATGCCCTACTTTCCGTTTCTGGTGATATGCGGTCCTGATACAAGACATGCAGACCAACTCTCTGTCGATCTATGAATCACCAGTAGATATGAATTCTACAGCATTCCGAGAAGCTTTATGTGACTTGTACAGAGTATTTCTCTGGAAATTCTCTGCTCATCTCTGCCATTCAGGCAGATTATCAAATATCGAGTAGCATGACTGCCTAGTTCTACTACACTTAATGACACCACTCATAACAATTGCTTAACGATGCTAATGCTCTAACTATGTCTCCAAAAATATCACTACTGGGCGCGTTTGCTCGTTTTCCATATGAATTGCGACTTACAATATGGGAGTACATCTTCTATTTGGAGTCGCATCCCCCATTGAGAAAGGAACAGCTCGGCATACTTCGAGCCAATCGAGCTATACGCGATGAAATTATATTCAGCTTCACATACGACACTATCGAAGTCCACATCACTTCCGTTTTCCGTGAGGGGGTATTCATTTACCCCCGGGATTGCTTGTTCTGCTCCTTTCAAGCATGCCAGCATTTGCTACAATCAGTATAACGGCGTCGACTGACATTTCAGCGCGAGCACGCGTTTAAACATGGCTAGCTCTGGCAGCAGGAGCTTTCCCCTGACGCCACTAGAAAGAAGGTCATATATGACACCATGCTATTCAATATAAGGAAGCGCAAGGCTTCTGACTCCCCAGTCCAACCCGCGCCAAAGAGAACCACAAACCCATACTACTTCAAGAGTTCAACTACAAGATTGATGCGCTGCATGATGTGAGCATGGCAAAAGCGCAGGAAGCGCTGGAGAGAGCCCGCAGTGAAGTTCATGCGGCCATGGAGAAGCACAACAAACCAGGCAAGAAGGGAAAGAAGTGAATTGCTGTAATAGGCTTGGTCTGCCCACAACACCATTTTCCGTCTCATATTCTTTGACGACAATGTGCTCAAGTCATTGTCCGTAAGTCTCAGGTGGGCCAATGGAGACCCAGAACGGCAGCGCACCAGGAGCAGTATTGGCTGGTCATCTGGGGGAGGCCTCTTCTTCATGAGAGTTGGGTCAGTTCGCTCAGTTGTAACTTTCTGAGCCAAAAGAAAAGTCCAATTCCATCCGAGGGGGCATACCTACACGTCCTTCGAGACTTCAACCGCGAAATCGAGGACCTGCGTGACCAAGGCATCGGAGAAGCCCAGGTATGTTGAAGCAAAAGGCACTGTACAATGCTATTGAATTCTATCATATCCATGTCCGCAACGTTGTATATCCAATTCCGTCTCGTCACGTGTAATAAACCCATGTCTAAACTCAGATCCATTGATCATTCATTCTTCTATACTTATCAAACTAAGCAGGGCTGATTCCCCATCCTCACATAATCCAAGGCTCCGTAGACCCTATGACATCAAAGCACCGCAAATCACCATGAACCGCCCATCGTATTGGCTTTCCACCATGTGCGACGCGATGCGATGTACAAGTAAGAACCGCCACGTTGAAAAATGACCTGCTAGATTTCGTATTGCTGGCTTGGCTTGGCAAACCCGCAACATGGCTGATGTGGCTGAGCCTCGTTCGCCTGTCGTGACGATCGTGAAGATTTGTTGAGATGGGTTAGTTATAAAAGGGTGGAAATGGAGTATTCACTTTTACTTAAATAATATCGATTTTTATCAGACGGTTTTGGGAGTTGAAAGGAATAATGTGAGTTACTGCCCATATGGTTGTGTTATATATTTTGTCCTAACCGGATCAGCACACTATATTTCCAACTCAACATTAATCTCATTCACAAACCAAACCAAACCATACCAAACCAGAGACACTATACTCCATAAAATATACATCATGTGCTTCGGCTCCAGCAAAACCCACGACCCCTACTGGTGGGGCTACATCGACGATGGCCAAGGCTGGACAGCGCGTCCCAAATCCGCATACATGAAGACCCCCGAATACAACCCGGAATTACGACGAAAATTAAAGAAAGAGCGCAAGGAGCGGAAGCAAGAGGCCAAGGAGGTGGAGAAGAGGATGAGGAGGGAGTGGTTGGAGGGATCGAGGGTGTCGAAGAAGGTGGAGACGGGGTAGGGGTTTATTTCTGCTTTTATTTATTTCTGCTTTTATTTGTTTCTTCTATTGATTTGGTTTTTTTTTTTTTTTTTTTTTTTTTGGGAGCGTTCATGAGATGGCGTTTGGTTATGGGTATAGGTTATTTGTACGATGCAACGCATGTTTGAAAACGAAATATGTCATTGACCCGTATAATAGAAATTCATCAAAGATGTTATATTCATCAAAAGGGATAGAAGATTGGGCATGCTATTTCCCATCGCTCTGGGTACATTAAATCCAACCATTTTCCGACAGACCCCCACAACTCGGTCTAAAATCCATTATACGAAGACATCCCTCCTGCTACCTTTACTCGGGGCTTTCCCAATCAGGGTTCTATAAACACACGTTAGTCACAGCCAGAGGAGAATTAGGAGATAGAGGGACATACCTTGCGCAAGATAACCAGTCCCTCAAGAGTGCTGCTCAGAGGGATGTATTGCTCGTCTTCAAGTTCTGCTCTCTCACCGAACGCCAAGAGCACAGGCGTGCTCTGTGTTTGCCATCCGGTGATAGTCTTCGGCCGACCAGCTTGGCCGACAACATCCACTGCCTGTCCTACCCGCACGTTGACGGTGACAGGCTGCAGGTCCTCGTCGAGAGTGATAAGGAAGCGAGGGTACATGGCGGTGATAAGGAAGTAGAGCAGGTAGTGTTGTTCGGCGAGGATGAATTGCTTAGCGTCGATCAACGACACGAGGACAGTAAGGAGACCAGCGGCGGACACACGGGAGAGGACCTGGCGGTCGGTGTGGAAGGGGTTGAGGGTCATGGTACCCTTACCCATGTGCAAAAGACCTTGGGCAATACGGACCATGAATAGCGAGTTGGGGTCGCGGTGGTAGTAGCTTGCCAACTGTCGGAGCAACTGCGCCAAACGGGCATTCTTCGTACCAGCACCGCAAAGACCCATTGCGAAAATCGCGTTAATGGCAACATCGTTGTCGTTGTCGTGACTGTACCGAGACAAGGTGTCGTAGACCTTCATCTGGGGGTTGCTGGGGCTAATCAGACCCATGGCAAGAGGAACAGCCTTCCGGATATTGCTTGCGCCGTAGTGCATCAAGTGGCCAAACTGTCTGAGGATCATATCTTGGCCGACTTCCTCACCCATCGCAATGAGCGAGAGACCCAAGACGGCGTACGACTGAACCAACTCATCACCCTTCGACTCTTCCTTCTCTTCGATCATTTCATTGCAGATGTGAAGAAGCTCTTGCAGCTTCAGCACTGTACCAGTGCCAGCCCACGCGCAGACGGAGGCGAGAACGGAAGTGGGCTTAGCCATGGGGTGATCGACAGCCTTGAGAATATCCAGAATCACGTCGACCTCTTCCTGACGGCCAAAGTACAGAAGCGCAAGGCCAAGTGCCATAAAGCGGGTCCACTTGTCCTTGAGGTGCTTTTGCCGATCCTCATCCATCAGTGTTGTGGCAATGGCCTCACTGACCTGGTGGTTTGACGAACCAACGAAAATCAGACCCAGCGAAACAGCAGCCATCGCAGACAGCTGCATGTCGAGCGAAACATCCTCCACAATGGGGAGCAGCACCTCCAAAAGCTCCTCCTTGTTGGATCCGGCATAAGCCAAACCGAGACCCATGATGGAGGCTACCCTCATGGGAACGTTCTTGGCCTCGAGGTTGTCGGAATCACTCAGGAGGGCCAACGCAGGATCGGAGTCGAGCCTAACGCCAGAGTTGAGGATACCGATAGCAAGTAGCGCACCCGCCTTAATTTGGTCTTCCGTGGCATAGGTGAACTTGTCGATCTTGTCGAGACCCTCTTCAACATCGCCCTGCATGAGCATACCCAACGACGCTGTAGTCGACAGCATACCGTCATCCTTGGTCTTCCACACCCAGGAACTCTTATCAGCGTCCACCAGCATCATCTTGTCATTTCCATAACCGGCATTGGCGAAAGAATTGACGAAAGCGCTGGCAAGGTTGTGTCTCGCCGAGTCGACGTTTGTCAACCCAGCCCCACGGGTTTCGAGATGAGTCTTGTAGATATCCTCAGGCATCACGGGGTCGAGGATGTTGAGCTCCTTGCCGAGAGATTTGAAGTGCTTGTGAACCGAGATGTTGTTCAAGCAATCCATGAACGACTGGTCCTCCTCTTCCTCGGGTGAGACATCGAGCCATATTTGTTGTCTGGCAGCAAGGAATGCCATCTGCTTCTTCAAAGACTTGTCGGAGGTCGCATTGATGTCGCTATTGATGAGTTCGGTGTCGTTCAACCGGATTGCGACAACGATCGCCCTGGTGAGCTCGTTGAACTGAACGTAGATCTGGTGGGCCGTACGAAGGAACTGCTGGTCTTCGGGGAACGTGAGGAGGTTGACCATGCTAACCATGTAGAGGCAGACTCTCGAATATGTCTCCTCGTCCAAGTATTTCGGAATCTGGTCAATAATCTCCAGTTCGCTCATAAGGTCCACGGCGTCAGCCTCGGCGTTGTGACTCAGGAAGTACGGGACGAGAGACAGCGCCAGGTCGACAAGATCCTTGGTATCCTTCTCATTATTAAGTCTGTCCTGATGCTCCTGTCCAATCTCGAGGGCCAGGTGCCGGATGTATTCGTGACCCCAAGAAGCGAGATCTTCCGATTTGGCGAGCAGGCGGTACTTGATGGTTTCGAGCTTCTCTTCATCGCCGTAGGTCATACCGAGGACAGAAAGCATATCGGCCAGCGAATCCTGCAATTATGCATCTTAGCTTTGATCGAACGGGTGATTATCCAGCAGCACAAACGAACCTTGACGGGACCCGCCGACCACTTCTCGTATAGCGCTGTGAGGTCATCGTAATGGGGTCTGAGGAACTTGAGCGGCTTCGGGACAGCTGTCATCGACGAGGTCGAGGTCTTAATGAAGTTTTTAATTGCATCCAAGGCAGGACGGTACAGCGATGTGTCGGGTTCCTATAGAGAAAGAGCAGTCCCCAAGTTAACGTCATCGCCCAACAAACCGCACACTGCGCGTAGAAAAGAGAGAACGAATAAGCTATACCTTTAACCGTTCCACAAGCATTTCAAGCTCACCCTTCAGCTGCTGGTCCTCCTCACTGAGCTCCTCTGGACGACCGTGTCAGTATGGTGTCCATCGGCCGGTGTGTTGACGTCTCTCCCGCGGGACCACGATGACCTACCTTCCTGGGGCTCATCATCCTTCTTCTTCCCATCCGCTTGCTGCTTCTCATCCTTCTGTGGCTTCTTTCCAGTGGGCACGTCCTTAACATCTTCCGCCTTGCCCTTGCCCTTGTCGACGGGAGCTGACCGCTCGCCTTCCTTCGCCATCTTCGGAGGGTGTCTGGATAGGTTCTCAGGAATGCGTCACGGAAAAAAGGGAAAAAGAAGAGTCGGTAGTAATGACCGTAGGGGAGAGAGGAGATAAGTAATAGAGCCTGCAAAGCAAGCGATGCCGCAGACAAGAAAGGTATAAGGTGGTGTTGATGGTAGAGTAGAGGAGCTCTTCCTGCTGGTCTCTTGCTTTCGTCGCCGCTGGGCGTTTGGTGGAGCTCCGGTGATTATGTAAGATGCCCGACGGCGGCCATAAAGACAGCTACGGAACTACAGAGAACTGTCGATTTTATGCGACGATAAGAGCAGATTGGGACATATCATTGCTCTAATCTAGTTGAAGGGACAGGAAATTCCTGGTATACTGTCCCATCTTGTGGTAGTGATCTCTATCGACCGAGGCGGACCATGCCTGAGGCTTGCTCTGCTGTCGTTTCGGAATAAATTATCCGGAAAGTTCGAGTATGCAAATCACCAGGCTATTCGAAAAATTCCCAATGAGTTCGAATGGATGGTCATGGTTCGCGTGGATGGGGTTGGTTTCCTGCGAGGCGGAGATTCCGCGCGGACGGGATTTCTTATATGGGCGGACTTGGCCATCATTCTTCATCCACTCCACCCTCGATTGTATATTTGTTTATTTTAATGACGTCCAATCTTAATTTCATCCGGATTATTCAATAAGCCACTAACGTGAACATAATTGGCACTAAAGCGCGTCATCGCGTGTAGAGCATCATGGGTCAAATGGATGTGGATGCCCGTGAACCTCACGGCACCAAGCGGCCAGCAGAGGACGCTGAAACTGAACCTCCCCACAAGCCAAAGAAAATTAGAGTGAGTTCCCTAGCCATATACTACATTGAGTAGGTAAATGACAGAGAACAGGCCCTCGATCCAGATGTCGTGAACAAGATCGCTGCCGGGGAGATCATCGTGGCTCCGATGCATGCCCTGAAAGAGTTGATCGAGAACGCAGTCGATGCAGGCTCGACCTCTTTAGAAGTTCTGGTCAAGGACGGTGGTCTAAAGCTTCTCCAAATCACGGATAACGGACATGGTATCGATGTAAGTGGACTGTCCCTTGGAGGTGGAGTCGTACTAACCAAATCTGTAGAGAGATGATCTCCCCATTCTATGCGAAAGATTCACCACATCCAAGTTGAAGGAATTTGAGGACCTTTCCAACATTGGTACATACGGATTCCGCGGAGAAGCATTGGCCAGTATTAGTCACATCGCCCATCTTACTGTCACGACCAAGACGGCCGGATCTAGTTGTGCGTGGAGAGCACACTATGGCGATGGGAAGCTCATCCCTTCGAAACCAGGGCAGTCTGCTGCTCCCAAACCTACTGCTGGACGGGGTGGCACCCAGATTACCGTAAGAACTTGACCGACTTGCATATCCGGTGAATTGAGTATACTAAACCCAACCAGGTGGAAGACCTATTCTACAATGTCCCAACGAGAAGACGAGCATTCCGCTCCGCAAGCGAAGAATACGCCAAAATCCTCGACGTCGTAGGCCGGTATGCCGTGCACTGCGCCGGTGTGGCCTTCTCATGCCGCAAACACGGTGACTCGGGAGTCAGCATCTCAACACCAGCCGCAGCAAACACAGTGGACCGGATCCGGCAGATTCACGGAAGTGCTGTTGCTAACGAGTTGGTCGAGTTCAAAGTGGAAGATGACAAGCTGGGGTTTAGCTCTTCGGGACTTGCTACGAACGCCAATTATCATGTTAAGAAAACGGTTATACTGCTTTTCATCAACCACCGGGCTGTTGAATCCACTGTTGTCAAGAGGGCCGTCGAGCAGACATACTCTGCCTTCCTACCCAAGGGAGGCCACCCCTTTGTCTACATTGACTTGGAGGTTGAACCGCAACGAGTGGACGTAAACGTCCATCCAACAAAACGCGAGGTAAACTTCCTAAACGAAGACGAAATCATTGAAGCCATATGCAACGAAATCAGATCAAAACTCACAAAGGTCGACTCAAGTCGAACCTTCTTAACACAAAGTGTCCTTCCAGGAATGGGCGTACCGACAATCGAAAGCCTGAGCCGTGACGACGAAGATCCGGAGGAGGGCAGACCCTCAGCAACACCCAAAACACCTGGTACAACAAAGAAACCATACGAGCACAACCTTGTCCGCACAGACTCGAAAGTTCGTAAGATCACATCGATGCTCTCACCCGCTGTACCCGCAACCGCATCCCGTACGGACGATGCGGAAGGCACCTCATCCACTATCCTTGACGAAGGACTAAAATACGAGACCACAGACCGCGAGCCCATCCGCATAGCTCTTACCTCAGTCAAAAACCTCCGCGCTGGTGTCCGCGCCAACATGCACAATAACCTCACCGAGATGATCGCCTCTCATACATATGTCGGGTTGGTGGACGAACGACGCCGCATCGCGTCTATTCAGTCCGGGGTGAAGCTCTATCTCGTCGACTACGGAATGCTATGCAGTGAATTCTTCTACCAAATCGGACTAACCGACTTTGGCAATTTCGGTATCATCAAACTCGACCCAGCGCCAAAATTGGTTGATCTCCTTCGCATCGCAGCAGAGGCGGAGAAAGAGAGCCACAAAGCACAACGACAACAACAAAAACGAGGCGAAGCAGAAGAAGAAAACGAAATATTCACCAATGCCCCCGACATTGTCGCAAATACCCTCATCGAACGCCGCGAAATGCTAGATGAATACTTCTCCCTCCAAATCTCCGAAGACGGTGACCTCATATCCATCCCTCTACTTCTCAAAGGTTACCTCCCCTCCCTGGGCAAACTACCGCGCTTCCTCCTCCGTCTCGGGCCCTACATCGACTGGTCTGGCGAAGAGGAATGCTTCCGAACATTCTTACGGGAACTCGCAGCATTCTACACCCCAGAACAGCTGTCACTTCCCCCATCCGTCACAGGTTCCAAAGAGAAAGACCACGAAGTATCCGAATCACAAACCGAGAACGACAGTGACGAAGACGAAGCTATCCAACAGCGCCGGTTGCAGATGGGCCGAATGTTAGAGCATACCGTCTTTCCGGCATTAAGGGCACGCATGGTTGCCACGACGCGCTTGCTAAGGGGTGTTGTGGAGGTTGCTGATCTCAAGGGGCTGTATCGGGTGTTTGAGCGTTGCTGAGAGTCTCGACGGAGTTTTCTGTAAATGGGGTTAGGGCCATGATAAGTGCTAGAGAACTTTGTATGTCAGTTAAGAGGCGTGATCGTTCGGAGGATGGCGGGACTACTTAAAGCCACTTTATCATCTTGAGAGACATGAGCACGTACTTCGTTTGAAAACCAGAGTATGATGAGGATCTTGTAAGAGAAATAATTAAGAAAAGATGAGAGAGAATGAGAGGGATGGGAAGTTGGTGGCCTAAATCTGAATAGGCAACACAACACCATCCTCGAGCTTCAACCACTATAGCCACTATAATCCCCTAGTAGAATAAAATTCATGATGCATCGTAATAATTATAATTCATAGCAAGCCAAGAAGCAACGGATTTCTTGTGAGATACAGACTTCAACCTTCTTTTGATTCCTCCTCAGACACGTCCTTACAACCATTCCGAACCATCTTCTTGAAGAACCGTAGCAGTTGAATCGTTGGTGACATATGGCCACCCCTCAGTTTCAAGGATAACCAAAGGAATCGAGATCCTCTAACGACATAACTCTCCTCGAGAGTAAAAAGCCCTACCATTTCTATCAGCTATGACTTCTTTCGCTTGCAAGGACCTATCCCTGCCATTATGATCCTCTGTTACAGTCCATTTTACATAACAGGTAACCTGACATGAGTGCATCTCATATATGAGAATGCCATCATCAAAATCAGTTAGTATGGCTCCAAGGTAACCAGGACAGAGCGATCCTGAGTTGAGTAAGAAAGCCGTTGAGTGCAGGGCCATTGATTTGGAAGATTCTATTTCCCAATCAGGCCATGCGATTCATGTAAGGGGAATTATGGTCTTGTATAATGTTGAGGATGGCCTTTTTATCAGCGTTGATGATTGGAGGGAGTGAGATATGTCTGTTTACCCCTTCGAAGACAGGGTTATGAGCTGTGCATTTATTGTTCATTAATGGTTGGATTCAGAATGTCAACTCGTGTCAGCTTACTGAAAAATGGCCTGTTCATGTTCCTTGGGTACGAGGGAGAAGAATAGATGTCAAAATTGTTTTCACTGAGAATTCAAAGCTACACGCAATGTAGTTAGTTAACTAACTAGTTAACTATTAAATCCTTGCCATAGTTCTAAGGAATCATTTGTCCGTGGTTGCTGCGTTATTGCCTATCTGGGTATGTTGATGCCCTAGTGGCTGTGCGGGCGGTGATTGGTTGGAAAGTGTGGCTGGTGTAGCACTAACCAAAGCGAGTTGCAAAGACACCTCAGGCTGTATTATCGATCGCTGGAAGCCCTATTTATTTATACTGCTTTGTACTCTGAGTGATTAATGTCTACTACATGGTATCCGCGGGCTCAGTGTCACGCTAACAGTGGCTTGAATGAAAACATTGACTAGCGCTATAACTTACTTAGTGCATTACCCCACCTTCATAACCGCCTAACATCCATGTTTCATTTTCCAGCTTTTGTTGACCGTGGTGACATTGGAAAATGTCTCTGTTGAACCTTCCTAATGAAGCCATTCTTTTGATTACGGACAGTCTACATTGTTAGACATCCGAGCTCTACACCATGTAAACCGTCACTTCTACTCCTTACTCAAACAACGTCTCGCTCAATCCAACATTGAACAATGCCACAAGACGCTTCTTCGCTGTGCAGCAGCAGCAGAGGACTATAAGCTTGCTACAGAGCTTCTGGATGACCTGGTCACGGCCCAAATGAGACCAAAGAATACGAATGCAGACTCCAACGACGATGTCATCGACTCGGCTTTCTATTATCATCCATTATACAAAAAGGGCTACACACAGGAGACAATTTTGGACATTCAAAGCGCCTTTCTAGCAGCGATTGAAGCAAATTCAAAGCCGCTCGTCAGTCTACTCCTCGATCGAGGTGCACAGGCGGGCTTTGTATTCCCACGACACGTTTATAACCCGGATGGAAGCCCCGAAGAAACAAAACCACTCAGTCCCCTTGACCTAGCCGTGAAATCCGGCGATAACGAGGTCTTCGATCTGTTAGTGTAAAAGGGAGCCCGAAGATGCACGACCGATTGTCCACTTGTTTCCGCTGTCGAGGGCCGTCAATTCCACATGATAAAAGTCCTGGTGGAACAAGTAGGCTGTCTTCATCGCGGGATACTTCTTGAAAGCCTCCCCAGAATGCAGGATCGCGCTAAATTTGATTACCAATTAGAGATTGGGTTTCGAGTTGACCTTTTTGGTGATGGGGCTCTATTCCTCGTTATTGCGCAAGGTGATATAGAGATGGTGCGGTTTCTAATTAAGAAGGGGGCGGATCCTTATGCGTCTCCTTACAGTGAGCCAAAACTGCACAGCTCTGTTTATACTGCGATTCTTGGTGGCCATACAGAGATATGTAAGATGTTGGTTGAGGAATACGGTGTACATCCTGACCAGGGGGGTCTGGACCTGGCTCAGGAAATGCGGAATCAGACAGTCATTGACCTTCTTTCTGGCTTTTCTTATGATGATGTGCCAGAAAAATGGCCTATTTTTGAGAAGGGATATGACATAATTGACAAGGAAACTTGGGGCGAGCCAGTTTAGCTCAATACCCCGGAAGCTGCTTCTATAAAATTTCTAATCGACTGCAATTCTAGTTGACGAAACCTGGGTGGGGCGGGGTTCTCCGCGTCCACAACCCGGATATTATGGATTTGGAGTTAGAGGTATGGCAATTAACGAGCCTGATAAATCCATAAACAATGCAGGTATGTCATTCTTATCAATGTCCGTACCATGACCAGGTGCTAAATGCCAAGGTAGACTCGCAAGCATTATTTGGTCTGGCCATGTATTACGACAGCTGCAACTGGAGCATGGGCATATGTGGGCATGCAAAGCCCGACAGAGTTTGCAGAAGGGACGACAACGGAAAGCGGTTAACGAATGAGGATGGAACCAAGAAATGCATTGGATTCGAATATAACTGATACTGAGGACTTGTGTATTTCCTCGGTAAATTCATCAAGGGGTGGGTTATATGGGAATTCGAAGTCTGCCCGTGCGCCTCGATCAAGGAGGAGAGTAATGAGTTGCTTGGAGTTTGCTTCAATGGCTACTGGAAAGGCGTTTTGGATCTCGAGGATTGCCTTTTGAGTATAGCCTTTTTGGAATAATGGATGGATAAAGAAGGCTGAGTCGATCCCGTTGTTGTAGTCTGTATTCGTATTCTTTTGACTATCGGAATCTGATGATTTCATCTGGGACCTGGCCAGGTTATCCAGAAGTTCTGCAGCAAGGTTGACATCTCCTGCCGCCGCTGTACAGCCAAGAAGAGTCTCATGGCATTCTTTAATGCTAGATTGCGTGAGGCGATGTTTGATAAGTAAATAGTAGAAGCGGCGGTTTGTAAGGCGTAAGGCTTGAATGTCTTTGCAGCAATGTAGACCGTTTGCAATCATGAGGAGGGCTTCATTGGGATGAGTTAAGAGAGAAATCATGCAAGGTCATCACGAAGAATTTCCCGTCTTGCATCGGCGACAGGATGGTGAAAGTGGAAGATAGTCAGGGGTCGACGGAAGTGAGGTAATGGACTAACACATTAGATTTAATCGATGTTTTCAAACGAGTCATTTTTGAAAGAAGATTGGGTCGAGGATGAGAGGAATAAAGATAGTGTGATGTGCTTTTCTCGAATAGGCTATGTTAAACAAAGAACTGGATAAGCAAGCATGAACCGAGGCTAAAAATAAAAGAACTCGCGCTATTTGCATTGTGGTATCGTATCCAAGTTTTACATTCCATGTACAGGAAAAACAACGAAGACCAGCATACAGGATCAAACAAAATCAAGCGTATATGAACCGAGCCCGAATAGTGCGACAAAAAAGAATAATATCAACCAGTTTCCCAATTATTGATAGAGCCGATAGACCCGACAGAATAAAACAAGACCGTTTCATAACCCATAACCATAACCGTAGCAACAAACCGTGACCATAATCATAATCGTAACGCGTAGCCGAAACCATAAAACATAGATGACGCTGAGTAGGAGGGCGTGGATTTGTACAAAGAAAGATTCCCATGGCTTTCCAAGAACCAATGTCTTTCGACTCGACAGATGGCGGTGTGAATCAAAATAGGGAGTAGTGGGATTGTTGATCATGCAACCGTAGTAGTGCAAGCAGGGCGAGTACTACCGGGTATAAGGCATGTTCATCAGGGCAATCTCGCGGGCCACTATCTGCCACTCGAGTTCCCGCTTCACGGGCTCGCCGCGTTTCTGCAGCTGTAATTCTTCCCATTTCAACAGTTCATACCTGGAGTCAGATGTCAGCGATGTCCAACTTGAATATAAAGTGAATGGGATCTTACACAAATCGCAAGTGCGGCTGTACAATAACATTAAGTCGTCTAGCACGAACATAGCAGCTGGTATAATGTTAGCAGCGAGTCAAGATTCAACAGGCAAGATCAAACTCACTATGCTCGTGGAAAAGAAAGATTAAGAGATGCCATAACTTCGGCAATACAGATAGTTGCTGATCTCGAAACGCCAACACGGCAATGTACCAAAGTAGCCGCACCGTCACGTTTTCCTCTCCCTAATTAACGGTTAGGATGGGCTTTCCATTTAGCAAAAGAGGGAAACTCACGAATGAACTCCAAACACCGGTTAAATTCCTTCGTCAAAGGATCAATGCCATTATCCCGAACGTCGGTAATACTCATGAGATTCTCCGATCCAAATCTTGCGTAGTCCCCTTCTGACCAAGCCAAGGATTCGCCAATACTCAGTACACGCTGGATACCAAGTTTCCAAAGCATATCTGGGTTGTTGGCGTGTGTCAAGCTGCCCAAATACATATATGGCAAAACGCGACTCGGGAAGGATCCGTCACAATTGTCGAACCAAGACGGTTTCGAAAGAGAGGACAGATCAGGGGCACGTGTCACAGGGCTCTCCTTGAGCAAACGCTCTTGGATACCGGTGAGGTATGATACATCAATCGGATAAGCAAAGAAGTTGCGCTTTTTCTCAGTGTGAAGCTTCAACCAAGCGTCCTTCGCAGGGATTCCTTCCGCATAGATGACATACGCGAGTGCCAGTAACGAGCTCTCAGTATACCCATCGGGTCCGTGAATAAGGATCTTGTAGGGCTTTCTGGACGAAGTGGCCATGGGTATATCGCCTTCCGAGTCCGACTCGTCCGCCGACCCACCCGAGTTTGCCAGATAATGCATCCAACGAATGGTATTCACGAAATTTTCCAGCTCCCTCTGCTCACCAGGGCCGGAGGACGGTGGCATAAGCGAGCCAGACGAAGGAAATTCCAGTCGCTGGGGACCATTCTTAAGCTTCCTCTCGAGATGGTCCAGAACGTGAGGCGGTGGGATACTGGCTAGGTCGTTTGCTTCAATAAATAGGTCAAACCCTTCGTCACGCGCCGACTCCCAGGGCTTAGACTTCAGCAGGTACTCCGGGGTTGGACCTTGCCAAATATTTGACGAAATCTCCGATGCCTCGGTCATGGAATACATCTCCAGTCTTTCCCATAAAACTGAGATCTGTTAGAATCAATCATCAGAGTGTTGCCCATTGGGGACTCACAGAAATCCATGACTTGACCCGTAATCTCGCCTCGAGAGTCAATGGTCACTAAACCGGGGTATCGTTTTTCCACTTCACGGAAGGAACCTGTAGAGAGGTCAGGTTCTGCGAGGGATAGGCAAGATCAGGAATGAACTAACTTGTGAGTATGAAGGTATTGAACTCCGGTACCAGCCGCTTTGGGTCGTTCTTCATTTTCCAGTCATGTTGTGCGGTCGCGACTCTCGCAGCAATGTCGAGGACATCGTTCTGGTCGGCCTCATCGTCACCGTAGACAATTATATCCGAGAGCGTCGCCAGCTTTGCCGTCTGAATTTGGAAGTTGCGCACTGAGAAGCCCTCTTGGGGGTCTGGCAACAGGAACTCCAGACCTGATGGCGCTAGGACCTCGGTTGGAGCCACTGCACCTTTGAGCCTGGATGCCGCGAGATCGCCTCCAACCTTGACAATGGTGATGCCTCGCCAGCATTTAGGTGCTTGTCGCAGGGAGCGCTTGCGGTTGGTGAAGAATCCCAGTTGTAGACGGTTCCTTGGATGAAGCCCATGCAACCAAGGGAAAACCTGACTAGGATCTGGCAATGGCTGCGATGCCCAATGGTCCAATGCGTCTGCCAGCGATTCTATGTCGATAGTATATACCGGAGGGAATCTGGACATCTGGAAGTATGCGTTGGGAGGGTAAAGTAACGACGACACCTGCTCTTCATCGCTGTTTTCTCGTACGTCCGGGGATGGTGAATGTGAGATAGGAGACGGGCCCGTTGGGCAAACTGGTAAATGCTTGTTGGGGATAGGAGTCGGGTTTCTGTTCAAATTGAACGCGGTGATGTCGGAAGACGATCGCAGCGCTTGCTGCTGTTGTACCACGACCGTGGCCATGATGATAAGGATCTCGCGCTTCTCGTAGTAGTAGTTAAAAACACACTGGCTTTAGTGCTATAATGAGAACGAGTCGCGCAATTGTAGCATATGCAGATCGATGGATATGAGAAAGACGGTCAATTCAAGTCGCATCAATTGGTGTTCCAGGATTCAATCAGGATTCAAGAAGCTAGAAAGAGAGGGAGAACCACTTTTTGTTAGCATTTGACTATGAGGTCAGATGTGGAGATGTATCCATACCAGGCGACGGATACGGATATCAAATAGCCTTAAGGGGCTGGTCCGAGTGTCAAGGCGGAGGAACGGGGAGATGGCAAACAGCGAAGAATGACAAAGAATGAGACCAGGCGATATGGAGAATCGAGTCTAAATGCAGCGACACGAGGGGATCTCCTGGCAGGCGTCTAGTATGCGGGCGTAGGGATCAACCTTGGTCTGTGGAATGCGATAAACCGGGAGATAAGGAGATCCACTGCAATGGAGAAAGAGAACCAACGCAGAGTTAGGTAGAAATAGAGTGAAATGGTGTAGAGTGTCCCTGGAGGAAGAATATGAGAACTTAGCGATGGGGAAGGTGAAGTTGAAGGATGAAGAAGTCAAGTTGTCGAGGAGAGAAAGAAAAAGTCACGGGATGGGATGGGGAGGGGTAACTAACTGTATATAAATGATGGTGTTATTATTGGGAGACCATGCAGTGAACATCATTCTACTACTAATATATTTTATTGTTAATCCCAATTCAATTCTTTGCTTTATCAACAACCAATAACCCCATTTCTATCTGCTGTCATGGTCGCCTCGTTCTCCCCGGGCATCCATACACCACTACAGAGTACATACATATCACCAACAAGATCAGTGCCCTCCATTTCAGCTTCCCCTCTTCCATAACCAAATCACGACTATCGTTGGAAACCCAACCACAGGCCTAGACGCCACTCGATGTATGCTCGGGCTATTGCATCGACCAATGACTGACACGTCTTCTCCAACCGGACTGCACGTTGAGTCGGCTACCTGCACATTGTACAGATACATGGTTGGACTCGACCAATTCGATTCTATCGATCGCTTTGCGCTTTTTACCTACCCGCTTCCGCGACTGCTGAACATGTGTGGTTGGGAGTAACCATGGTTCAACTTCCCTGATCCATGGTGGCTGGCTTTATTGTCTTCCATTCATGACGCTTCGATGAACCTACGATCGCTTTCATGTCTATGACGATGCCATCGATACTCGTTTCGTATCCCGCACAGTACTTTATATTTCTCAGGTTAAGTTCTCGGTCCTCCGGGACTGTCTGTTTGGCTGTGAACATCCGAGGACCAATGGAAGCATGAGGTCTCCATCCCAGTCTATCAAACCCACTGGAGTTCCTACGCGAGTTGGTCCCGGACGGTTTATTGGACACACGGTCCCCTCTGCGATCTTTTACCCTAGAGGGGCAGGTTAGATACTTCGTATCCCGTGGGAGCTTCCAAGCACTGGCCGGAGGATTGGCAGGGATCAGCGACGCTGACATCAACGGTATTATTGTCGGTTTCAAGGCTATATGTGCGCTGATGTTTGTGGTTCGT